CAACTTGCTGCACACACAGATGGGTGTTTTCTGCTTGTCTGTTCCCACCATCCCACGTGGCAACACTGACACCCTCTGGGAAGGGGATCTACCATGGGAATGCTCCAGAGGAGACATTACCTCACTGCCCAGCCCATGACATCACTCCAAATGGAGCAACACTAAGATCTCTGACACACCAAGAGGGGCCAGGCAGCTCCTCATCCAGCTGCTCCAGAATTTCACACTGGGCTGGGGACTGAGGAACACAAAAACCTCATCACTGCAAATAAACAGGGGTGATAAGGGGGAGAAGCAACTAAACAGGAATTATTTTTTATTAAAAGCCTAAAAAGAAGCAAATGGAAGAGTGAAGCCCATGAGAGGGACTGTGGGGAGCTCAGGGAGTGCAGGGCCATGGCTCCCAAAACCTCAGTCAGACACAGGGATTCCTGGTCCTACACCTGCCACTGAGCAGCTCAGCACCTCAGTTTCCCCATCTGCAAAACAGAGATGATTCTTTTCCTCCTCTGTGAAGCATTTTTTAAAAGTCATCACCTGCAGATTTCACCTCCAGCAAAGCCCACTGTGCCAGGCACACCCTCAAACACCTCTGTCTTCAGTTTTAAACAGCAAAATTAAGGGATTTAAATGAAAGAGAATAAAAGGATACTGATGGAATCACTTTTCTTTTAAATCAAGTTATCAAAAAAAACCCCACCAAAAAACCAAAATAATCAGAAATAATCCTGTAACAAAAAATTTATTATTGGCTGATTAATGCCCCCCCTTTTATGTTAAACAGTGAGTGCCAAAATCCACTGACTGCCATCCACTAATTCCCACTGAGATGGGGGCGGGGAGGAAACGAGCAATGACCCCCCTTTTCCCAAAAAGCAAAAGGTTCGAGTTAAACATTTAAAGCTGTGCAATGAAACAAAGAGCAGGGAATCCTGGGTTACGGGGCATTTAAATGTGGAAAATGGGATTAAAACCGGCCTTCACAAAAACCACGTGAAAGCTCCAGCCCCGTCCATCAGCACCGTGCAGATGGGCACAAAATGAGGTGGTTAAAGGAAATCTAAACTGGGGATCAGATCCGGTGCTGAAGGCTGGGAAATGCTGATGAAATAAACGGCAGGGAAGGGGGAACGGGGAGGGCCGGCCCGCGTTAAACGTGTGCGACCGGGGCCTGCCGGAGCCGATTCTGCAGATGGGGCCTGCGGAGAAGGTTCTGGGTGGATCCAGGCCGGCCGTGACAGCCTCGTCAGCTCCTGAATCACACGAGGAGCGAGTCGGTGCCCGCTCGGGAACACCCAGAACGCGGCCACATCAAAGGAGCCGCGTCTGGAGCCCCTGAACCCCCGCCAGGGCGGGACCCTCTGAGCCCCTTTCGCGGCCCTTGGGAACGGGGTGGTCCCGAGCCCCCGGGACCCCCCGGTGTGGCCGGGACCCCCCTCCCCGTGAGCCCCAAGGCCCGTCCCGGGGGAGCGGCCGCGGCTCCCATCGCGTGGGGAAGACACGGAGCTCACACCGGGAACACGGGGGGGACCCGCGCCCCCCGCCCCGGCCCTGCCGCGCTTTGGGGGGGCACAGAGCGGGACCCCCCAGTCCTGGGGGCAGCGCGGGGAACCCGCCGTGTCGGGGGGGCGGGAGGAACCCACAGAGGAACACGAAATCCTCCCCCCAGCGCCCACCCACAGCCGCGGAGGCCCTCAGGGACCCCCCGATAAAGAAGAGCGGAACCCCCCGGTGAAAGAGAAAAGGACCCCCCCGAGCCCACCCCCGGCCGGGGGAGGGAGCGGAACGGGCCCCCCGCAGCATCTCCACGGCCTGCGGTGAGGGACATGATCCCTGCCGGCCGCAGCCCCCGTACCCCCCGAGCGCCCTCCCCGCCGTCCCCCCGGCGCGGCCCCTCCACCTTTCGGCATCGCGGCGATGGCGGCGCGGCCCCCCCGGCCCGAGCGGTGCCCCGGAACCGGAACCGGGACCGCCCCGCCCGCAGGACCCCGAGCGGGGCCGCCCCCGCCACCGCCCCCGGGCCGGGTCTGTCCCGGTGGTTTCTCTGTCTTTGTCCCGGTGGTTTCTCTCCCCACTCCCGGGCGCGGCGGCGGGGGGTAAGGGGGGGATGTTGGCTCGGGCAGCGCACGGGGCGGCCCAAGGGCGGGGCCGCGGGAGGACCCCGGTGACGGAGGCGGCGCGACGGGAGCGGCGGGTGAGGGGAGGGGGATTGGGAACGGGAACGGGACAGGGAGCGGGACAGGAACTGGGATCAGGACTAAGATCGGGACCGGGAGCGGCGGGTGAGCGGGTCCAGGACCGGGACCGGGATCGGGATCGGGATTGGGACCGGGACAGGGAACGGGATCGGGACTGGAACCGTGACCAGAACAGGGAGCGGGATCGGGACAGGGACTGGGAGCGGGGGCTGCGGCCTCGGGTGGTGAGCGGGGCCGGGACCGGAACAGGGATCAGGACAGGGACTGGGATCGGGACCGTGATCGGAACAGGGAGCGGGGCCGGGACAGGAGTCGGGATCGGGATCTGGGGCCTCTCCTCTCCCCCAGCGCCTCCGGGTTCCGCTCTGGGCCGTCGGTGCCGGGCCCGGGGCCTCGCCCCGCTGTCACCGGGAGCTCCCGGAGCTGCCGCCTCGGGTGGCCTGGGGTGGGGGAGGAGAAAACCCGATTTACTGTGCAGCAAACACAGGGATTTCACCCCTCTCACAAGCTCCGTGAAGCTCGTTTTTACCCTCGAAGAGGAAAACAGGAAAAGGGCACAGAAGCCTTAGGAGAAACGTATCTGGCAACTGCTTTCCTTTGGTTTTCCCCAGTGATCCCGAGGCAGTGCAGGCAGACCCTCGAGCCCTCACCTTTCCCCTTCCGTTCCTGAGGCAATGCCCAAAGTGAAGAGGAGCAGGAAGCCACCCCCAGATGGGTGGGAGCTCATTGAGCCCACGCTGGACGAGCTGGATCAGAAGATGAGAGAAGGTGAGCGGGGCCATGACCCAGAACAAGCTCCAAGGAGCTGCTTCACGAAGCTCAGCTTGCCCTGCACCTACAGATGGACCTGCTCTGTCCAGTGGTGCTGAGCTTGGGCCGGGGCTGGTCCCTGGGTTTGGTGTGAGCTCAGGTTACAGAGCACAGAGCTTTGGTTACAGGTTGGTTTAGGGCTGGAGCTCCCTTGGGTGTGGAAAGACTTGTAGTTCTTGTCCAGGCATGAAGTCACCCACCATCCCAGTGTGGGTCACTGTCACCCCACTGCCAGTGGGTTTATTCCCTAAAGGAACTGTTCCAGGTCAGGCCCCTTTAATTTGAGTCTTCTCCCATTAATCTGTCTTATCCCTGGCATGTATTAAAGTTATGAGTGCCCTTGAACCAGTTTATTGCCAAGTGACTGAGGAAATAATTTGCCAGCTGAACCCTGGTGTTTGTGTTCCCTCCCAGCGGAGACGGAGCCGCACGAGGGGAAGAGGAAAGTGGAATCCCTGTGGCCCATCTTCAGAATCCACCACCAAAAAACACGTTACATCTTCGACCTCTTCTACAAAAGGAAAGCCATCAGCAGAGGTGAGAGGGCAGGGCTTTACCTTGGGCAGGGGAAGACTGGAGCGATGTGGGACCTGTGGATGCACCTGGACTGGGAGCTGGTGGGAAGGATCAGGTTTGTGGGGAGGGAGGGTGGAGGGAAGGCTGGGCAGCTGGTTACTACAGCCAGTAACTCCTGAGTGTGAGTGTTCCAACACCTTCCTGTGGTGGTGTCTGCCCCTCCCCAGAGCTCTACGAGTACTGCATCAAGGAGGGCTATGCTGACAAGAACCTGATTGCCAAGTGGAAGAAGCAGGGCTACGAGAACCTGTGCTGCCTGCGCTGCATCCAGACTCGGGACACCAACTTCGGAACCAACTGCATCTGCAGGGTCCCCAAAAGCAAGCTGGAAGTGGTGAGTGTGCAGCTTGTTCCTCTGCTGGTCTGGGCCTTTGTAGGACCTGGTCTGACTTCTCCGAGGTCAGGGACAGCAGAGGAGGTTGTGCTGTTCTTCCTGGTAGTTTCCTCCACCTTTTCCTACCTCTACTCATTTCCTACCTTGTTGGTAGAGTTGGTGTCTAATTGGTTCTAAAGTTACTATCAGCTTTGGCTCTCATTTAAAGTTGTTAAAGTATGGGAAATAACAGAAATCTAGCCAGCAGAAACCCTTCCCGCACACAGCCCTTCCCTGCCTCAAGGCCTGAGCCTGCTCTGTCTGTGGCTTGGCTGAAACACCCTCCTCGTGTTTGTTTTTCAGGGCAGAATCATTGAGTGCACTCACTGTGGATGCAGAGGCTGTTCTGGGTGAAGCCTTTGGTCTTTAGACTGCTTTGGGAACTCTGAGGGATGTCCTCCTCAATGGACTATGAGTGCAATTGCATCACTTCCTGGGATGGGATATTTCTGTAAATTGATTAAAGCAGCAGCATAATCACCCGGATCCTGCATAAATGGGAGGGAGGGGGTGCTCTGGAGTAGGGTTTTGTGTAGCCATTTATTTTAAAATAAAGTTTGCCTTCCTGAGAGTGGTGTCATGTTCTGGCAAAACATTCCTGTGCCCCTTTTCTCCTGTTGGATGTGTTCTGGGTGCTTGGTTTGAAGGTTGTTCTGAATGTGGGTTGGTTTTCAACCAGCTCTTAGCCCTCGTTCTCAACTAACTTCAGTTTAAAAGGCTGTTTTGAAAGAAAATAAGTTTCCCAGCATCCAGTTGAATTTGAGCTCTTCCCTGACCTTGTGTAGGTGGCAGCTGAATTTCACTGGAATTCTCTGCTGAGGTGTGTACCCTGGAATTAATGCATAGATCCTTTCAGGAATGCCAGCAGTCTAGAGACTTACAGGTCACATGTGAAGTGACAGAACACAGAACACAGTCAAAACCAGCACTGAGTTAAAGCCCTCTTCAATCTGATTTTGCTTCTTCCTTGTTAAGCACAGGGTTTGCTGAACTACAGCCTGTCTAATCCTCTTAAGGAAATCCACTGAAAACGTATTTGCTTCTCCTTAAAACAAAATATTTTATTATGTAGAAGCAGCTTTACTACAAGCAGTTTGAAGCAGCAAGTCATGCATGTTCCTTGTGCTAGAAGAACTTGAAATGCCCTCCTCCTTCTCACTGTTCCTGCACAGCCTCGGCCTTGCTGTCCTGCACCCCACGTTTGGCTGTCCTGTATTTGGCCCAGGGGTGGGGAGTCTCCTCTCCAGCCATAACTTTTAACCACCGGTGGTAGTAGCCACGGAAACCATCAATCTTCTCCAGGTATGGGTTCCTGGACTTGTACTGCAAACAGAAATCCAACAAAACAAGTTTCTGTTAGACAAGAACTCACTTCAGTACCGAGAGAGCTACAAGCTGCTACCGAAGAAAGAGTGATTATGTCAGCCAGATTAGACAAACCCAAAGGAAACTCAGGCATCTACGATTCCCCTCCCTTGCTGGTGTCCTTTGTGACCCCTTCACACCCTGAGCAGTGCTGGCTCCTTACCCTGTCGAATTTTGGAGGGTACTGTGCTGCAAATTCCAGCTGGCGGATGATCACCTCGTTGGGAGCCACCTCGTTGTTCCTCATGTCCCGCAGGATCTCCGTCAGGTAACTGTAATCCAGCTTCCTCACAGCACCAGCAATGAGGGTGCTGTAGATGTACTTGTTGGGAGTTATTCCAGACCTCTGAAAACCACAAATGCTACAGTTAAACATTTTTATCTGCTCACTAGTGCAGGACTCCGAGAAGGAAAAGGCACGTGGACAGGCTCCTTCCACCCAAGGAGCACAGCTCCCTGGAAGTGAGAACACAACCACTTGCCACAAAAACCTCAGCAGGTATTTTAGCAACATTAACCCTTCATTTTGCCTCTTCCTGCAGCTTGAACCCCAAGCAGCAGAGGATTTTTCTTCGATTACCTTCAAATCCGAGAGGAGCTGCAGTCCATCCTTCTCCTGGTGGCAAGCAATTGCCAAGTTACAGAATGTCTGGAGGTTGGGTGACAGTCCCCTCTTCACCAGAGCTGGCAGCAGGCTCTGCAAGATACAAGTCTTGGCATCAGTTCCCAAAAAGCATCGCTATAGCTTTCCAGACAGAGAGCTGGATGTGCTAGAATGGAATCCATAAATACTTAGAAATCAACCCAAGTACCAGTTTGTGGAAAAATGTGAGATCCCAGTTTCTGTCATGGACAGAGAAATGGGTCTCACAGCAAAACACAGGAGGCGTGAGACAAGGAGGTGGTGACAGGGCCGGTTCTGAGGTTTTTCTCTCACCTTTGCTCCCTCCAGGTCTCCCTGTTTGCTTTTCTTCCTTATTAAAGTGTTAAAGAAGGTCACATCTACTTTCACTTTATGCTCATCCAGCAGTGCCAGCAAGGAGGACTCTGAGGGGCTTTGGGGTTCCACCAGCTCAGCCAGTAACGTGAATGTTTTAATGTTGGGCTCTGCATTGTCCTCTTTCATTTTGTTCAAGAATCCCTCCACGTCCCCCATCAAAGCCAACCTGTGGGATGGTGTGGCCACTGTCCCCAAGGAAACCACGGCTGCGTCAGGCATCCTGGAATCCAACAAGTTGGGCAGGTTGCAGAAAGGCAGCTCCTGGCGTGGGTGTGCCTGTTCCAGCTCCATCTCCCTGTGGTCTCTCCTCATCAAGGCTCCAGCCCTGCTGTGGGTGACACTGGGGCTGTCAGGAGCAGCTGGTTCTTCTTCAGCCTGATTCACATTTTTATTTTGTTGCTGAATCGGTTCCTTGGGCTGCACCAAGCTCTCCGGAAATAACTGCTTTTCCATAGCTTCCACATCCAGCTGGACAGCAACACTCTCTGATCCCTTCTTCCTCCAATTTCTCATCCTTTCCTTCTGCTTCCCAGGTGGGAGCCGTAGCTGAGGTGAGTCCTCAGGGGGTCTGAGCAGGAGTTCAGAGGCCAGGACGGGGTCGCCGATCCCGCAGTCTCTCGCCGCGCGCAGCATCAGGTTGTAGGTGTGGCTGTTGCCCTTAATCCCAAGTTTAGTCATTTGTTTCCAAACCTGAAGAGAGGAAGATGCACACCAGATGTGATATTAAATAACAGCAGCACGTCTAGCAGGCTGTAGGCACATCTGTCAATGGGATCTGTGTGCAGAGGATTGAGTTTACAGCACGATAAGGTGAGTGACCTCGAGTTAGTGGAGCCCTGTGAGATGATCCAGGGCTGTTCACCAGCATACAGGATATCCTGGTGGAAGTCTGGTTTTCAGAACTTGTCCTAGGAGGAGCTGAGCTCCTCCCATTTCACCAGCCCTGAGCCACCCATCGTGTTCAAGTGATGAGTTACAATAGAACAGCATTTCTCCCCTCCCAGGTTAGAACACGAGGACACACCTGCAAGGCGTATCGGAACCCGTTTTCACTGTCCTTTATGCAGCTCATGAGAAGGAAGCTGAAGGTCTCAGCTGTCAGGACATGCCCCTTCTGCACAATCTCCTAAAAGAGCAGAGAAAACATTAAACTTCCCAGTTATCCAGTCTCATGCAGTTGGCTGTGAAGCTCTGATTCTACTGTCATTTTCTGGGGAAAGAGCAGAAACAAGGCATAGGGTGAACAGAACCACTGCTCCAGGAGAAAGAGAGCCCTGAAACATGCCCAGATCCTGATGGGAGGTATGGGGAATCTGGAGGCAGGAACAGCAATCCTTTCAGCTATTCTCAGACTGGCCCTTTAGAGAAGAGCTGCTGTAAGAGCCCTAAAAGGAGCCAGATATCAACATACAGGTGTCCAAAATGAGGAGGGGAGACAGAGACGGTATCTGCGAACTCCACAGAAACTTTGTTTGGTAAGTTTCTGACACACCTGATGTTATTTTTATAACACCTGACCAATTTTAAAGCCAAAGCTGCCTCTTTTTAGGTACTTTGTGTTTGGTATGTAGAATTTCACTGCAGGAGAATAAGGCCCAATGAAACACAAACACGTGATCTGCCATTCTCTCTACTGGAAATGAAATTAAAAAAACGACACAACATGACGACTTCCAGGAGCTTTAACCACAGCAGACCAGGTTCAACGTGGGAAAAGCGACCTGTTTACCTTGAGCACATCGAAGCACATCTTGAGGTCTGAGCAGAGGGCGCACACCTTGAGCAGGGCGTGGTAGGTGATGAGGTTCAGCTCCTCGTTCTTGCTCTGCAGCTGCTGCCGCAGTTTCAGGGCGCTCTGCAGCCCCGAGTCCTTCCACGGCGACTCGGCACAGGCGTTGAACAGGGCCGTGTAAGTGGCCTCCGTGGGGATCAACCCTCGTTTTTTCATCTAAGGGAAGAGAAGGAGTAGTTGAACTCACCTCCTTAAGGCAGGGCTTGTAGAATCTTTTAACTTGCTTCTAAGAGTTTCAGGCTAAGAAGGTGCCAACGCTTAACTCAAAGGCATTTTGGAGACAAAGTGAAGCGACTGAATGTTTGGAACAGTTTTAGCTTGGAAAAATGTTTTGAGAGAGAACTTAAACCTACGTCATTGTAGAGCCTGAATGCCTTTTTCACATAGCCAACCCTGCCACAGCCACCAATGAGAACGGTGTAATTGCTTTCCGCCGGCTGGACACGCTCCTCCTTCAGCATCTGCACCTCAAACAGCTCCAGAGCCTCTGCCAGCTACAGGGAAGAGGAAAATCCACAGTAAGGGAACAAGAGAATGAATTACAACGGATATTAAACCATGCAGCTGTGGGCAGATAGCAGCAGAAGTCCCACAGAGCGTGGGGTTCCTCATACAAAGGCTGGAGAGGGACTTTTGACAGGGCATGTGGTGACAGGACATGGGAGAATGGCTTTAAGCTGAAAAAGGGGAGATTTAGATTAGGAAGAAATTCTTCCCTGGGAGGGTGGTGAGGCCCTGCCACAGGTTGCCCAGAGAAGCTGTGGCTGCCCCATCCCTGGAAGTGTCCAAGGCCAGGTTGGACAGGGCTTGGAGCAACCTGGGCTAGTGGAAGGTGTCCCTCGTTTGGAACGAGATGATCTTCAAGGTCCCTTCCAGCCCAAACCGTTGTGTGATTATATAATGCTGTGAAGGTGCAGAAATGTATATTATGGAGGGGAAAATGGCTTGGGAAACCCTAGTAATGCCTTTGATGTATAGTGAGAAGCACTGGAGCTTTAAAGAAGGAAACAATCTGGTTCAGAAGAACAGCAATGGAAAAGAAGTCAGTAGAATACACTGTATACAGAAGAAAATCAAAGATCTTTCTCATCATATGAGAGCTGAGAATTAGAGGGACATATTAGTTAAAATTTCTCTTTCTGGTGAAAGGCTTAAAAGGATTCTAAACCCATCTGGGAAAGCACTGTGCTTCCAAACTGTACCATGCAGATGACTCTTGTCTATCACTTACCTCGATCTCCCAGGTGAAAGAAAAGCAAAACCCATTAAGAAAAAAACATTGAGTCACACATTTGCCCCAGTGTTCAGTGGAATGAAGGCTGGAGTCCTGCCCTGTCAGTATTATCCCATGTTAGCCTGATGTTTTAATCAAACAAGTTGTTTCAAATCCTTGTGTAGCACATATATAAAGAAGTCTGCTAAATATGGAGGCTTATTGTTATAAGCAGTCAAAACACACGTCAGAATCACACATTATGATAATAATAACTTAGGAATAATTCAAAACATGGCTTATTCTACTGGAATTTAGGTATCAGTGTAGGTCACAGGTCAGGGTAAGAAGTGAAAGACGCTGTTGTTGTCTGCCTTCAATGGTTCTGTGGTAATGTGACTTGAAGACATTAAGTCTCTTTTATGAAAGATGTTTAAGGCTTGGGATTTGTGTTTCTCTCTTCTGAGCCTGGCAGGATTTAGAAAAAATATTTATAAATGCAGTTGGAAGCTGGACTATTAAGAACACCAGGCTACTCTTTTTGTGTTGCAACTTGTTATGTAAAATTGAGGAGGGAAGAAAAACAGAGATTAGGGCAGGACAGGCTGAAAAACTGCCTTTTCCCATCCCTGGTCTGACATAGTCTGGGGCTTTCACTGTGCACTCAGACAAGGCACCATTAATGCTGCTGAGCAGCCACTGCTCCTGCAGCTTAGACCCCAATCTAATTATTGCAATCAGAGGATGCAGCAAAATGTACACAAATCTAATTCCTGGCAGAGAATCAGCATGTTTGTGCTACTCGTGGCAGCGTGGTCTGATGCAGCTGATAATCATGGAACCATAGAATCGTTTAGGTTGGAAAAGAACCTCTTGGATTGTTGAGTCCAACTTGTAACCCAGCACTGCCAAGCCCACCACTAAACCATGTCCCCAGGCACCACAAGGTGAAATCAGGTGAAATCAAGGTGGAATAAGCAGAGTTAGGGCCTGTAGAAGGCAACAGGACTAAGCATCTTCCCTTCTACTGGTGTTCACCCAGGGGCTGATGTCAGTGTCGCCATTTCTGGGAATTTTGCTCAGAAGGCAGAGGTGAGTGTTGGTTTCTTACTGCTGAAAGTGTTGTAAGGTGAATTAATTTGGTTTTTTTTTTTGCTTACAGGTAAGGTTACAGGTCGGGCTCTATGTTGTGTATCTTTTGGACTGGCTGACAGTTTTTGACAAAGATCAAATCCTAGTTCTTCGCTTGGAGGACCATGCATCCAACATGAGGTACACCATGCACAAGGTGTTCCACTTCCTGGATCTGGGTAGGTGTCTTCTGGCTGTTTTAAGTGTGAAAAAACATTATTATCCTTCTTTTAGGTCATTTTTGTTTCATCAAGAGACAAAAGAGAAGCCTGGGAATCTGGCTTGAAGGATGCAATAATTTTGTTGCCTGGAGTCAAGCAAAATTAAAACTCTCAAACTCTTATAGAAAGGCTGGTGTTAGAAGACCTTAATAAGACTGTATCAAGAAAAAAAAAATCCAGATCATTCAGAATGTATGGATTTATTCCACCACATGGAAGCCAGTTCTGCTTCTGAAGGCAGTCAGGGCTTGTTTGTCATGGGCCTTACACAGATGCAAAGTTATCCCACCCATTTTAAACAAGTTGAAGTGCTACCAACCCAGAACCTAAATCTGAGTATGATGAAAGGTTGTGTTCCCAGCCGAGGAGAAGGGGGAAATTGTGTTTTTGCTGTGTTGATTGAGACATCTGTTGCTAATCCTCAGAGAAATGCCGGCAGACAAAACGTTGCCCAATGTTGATTTGACAGTCGCAAGAGAATGAAAATGCAGATGAAAAATAATCTGTCTGGTCCAAAGATTGGTCCAGATGATGAGAAAGTTTGAATGTAGCAGACTGAACAGATGAAGAGCTTGGCATCTTCTTCCCAAATATGGTTTATGCTGGAAAAGTCTGCAGGATTTTATTTTCCTGATGCACATTTATTCCCAGAATAGGGGCATCACTACACCTGTGTGCCACTTTGAGCCCACTGACAGCCTCCAAGACAAACAGAATACGGCCTTAATTCACATCATAAAATGAAATAGCAGTAGAAAAGAATGGCAGCTCCAAAACGGATGGCAAGTTGTGTTCAATGTTGTTGTTGTTTTCTGAAAAAAAAAATTTTCCTCCAGAGATGATTTATGCTGCTTTTCATAGAGATGATTAATTAATGGGAGAGGAAAATGTATTATTTCCATATTTACTAACAGTGATTTATTTTAGTAATCAAAGCCTGTATTCAATATTCCAAAACATTGTTGCTGCTAACAAAAATCACATTTGTCTTCCCCTGGCAAACCTTCTGATTTAGTCATTAGTCTCCTTTAGCACGGGCATTTTTGGTGAAATATTTTAAGATAATATTCTGTTTTTCCACAGGACCTTTAAGTGAGAAACAAGAAGCTCTGATTACCAAGAGTCCTGCATCAAACACCAGACGACCTGAAGACAGAAGCCTGGGGCCAATGCTACCAACCACGAAGGCAATTTTAAGAGATTTCTACAGGCCTTTTAATACAAAACTGGCACAAGTTCTTTTTGATGATGCTTTTTTATGGAAGAGGACATAAAAATATGTAAATTTCGTGCCACAAATACAGTGCTTAAAGGAGTTTTTATTTTTTTTAAATTCTATTTTTGTGCGTGGATATTTACATTGTTCCCATTCCAAAGAGAAGCCGATTGATGAGCTGAGACTCTCACCTTCAGTCAGCACATTTCACAACAGTTGTACCACATTTTCCTTGTGAGAATGGAAAGCATCTTGCTTATCAGTCTATTTGTAACTTCTTTTACCCCAGAAAACGAGTGGAAAAGCATTAGGACAGAGATGATGTCTGACACTTTTCCACAGGGGTGTTGAAGTTTAACCTTCTCTAAGATGCTGCAACATCCTACAATTAAGCTTATAATCTCATTTTCAGTATATGTTATTCATTCATTTTTTCAATCAATCAATCAATCAATGTCATTTAGTCATTAAAATTTTTAATTGAATTCAACCAAAAATTCTGTCTCTTTTTGTCAATATATATTCACCCCCAGATAAGCTCAGGTGGTTAGAGCAGGGTGTTAATAATGCCAAAATTGTGGGTTCAATCCCCATATGGGCCATTCATAAGGGTTGGACTTGAAGATCCTTGTGGGTCCCTTCCAA